CTCCTCCTCACTTTTCTTCTTTGTTCTCTCAGGCACTCAAGTACAGTCAGTGACCTCATCATCCCCTCCCTCCTTATCACTGGAGCCAAATTGGCAGTATGCTGCGGCTGGGTGAACATGACTGCCAATTTCTTGTCCATCATTGGCACCCCCTCTCTCTGGGCTCATGCATTCAAATTGCTGCGCATCCTCCAGCAGCATGTAACTGACACTATGATCAAATAATTCAGGTGACCCCTCCATGAATGATTGTGGGGCTACAGAAGGAGTAGCTGTGGATAAGGAGCCTGTGAAATAGGTCACTTTGGAAGCTGCGGTGGAAGGAGAACTAGTTTGAGCCTGGGTGACAGAGGATGAGGGTGGCTCAGTTATCCACTCCACCTCCTCTTCTGAATGCTGTGGCTCAATAACACGGTCAGCACCAAAGAAAAGGACAAGCGTGCCCTGCCTGCAGAGTCCATGTCCATGACCACCACTTTTCACTATGGACACAGAGGCTGATTGCCCTCTTTTAGCTGCCTGTGAGTGTCTGCCTCTCCTTGTTGGCCTTTCAGACATGATGGGGATTTATTTCTGGGATTTTTATAACTTATTTTAGAGTGTGGGATGAGATTTTGGTGCTTGGATGCAATACTTGTGTGCTTGGTATACTATAAATCATTTTATTTTTATTTTTTTATAAAGAAAATAGGGGGTACAGCAATTATGAAGAAGCCAAAAAAACAAAACAAAAGCAATGGTGACACAGAAAGAAGAACACCTGCAGCTCAGAAGGAGGAGCAACAATATGGAGAATTTTTTTTGCTGCTGCTTCGAAAAAATAAAAAAAAAAATTAAATTAAATATAAAAAAAAAAAAGGAAACGACTACTAACGAAGGAGGAACACTTGCGACACAGAATGGGGAACAGTGATGATGCGGCAACAGAACCTGATGCTGCAAAAAAAAAAAGAGAAAAAAGAAAAATAAAGAAATGGGAACAGCGGTGATTCAGAAGTGCTGTGAAGAACACTGACACTTCACTGACACCACTGCACTGCTCTTCACAAAACCGCACTACACTGTCACTGACTACACTACATTGTCTCCTAACACACCACTAACTAACTTCACTAACACCAGCTTACACTAAGCAGTCACCAGCAAATTACACAAGGCTTTGCTGTGTAAATAGCAGTCTTATATAGTGTGGGGTGTGGAGACGAGCTTTGGCCATCATGGCTCTCACAGTGCACTGTGCTGTGATTGGCCAAAGCATTGCACTTGAACTGTGTCTCTCAATGCACTGTAAGAGCACAGTGCATTGTGGGGAGCTTGGTGGAGGAACAGCCCGCCAAACACCTTTACTGCTCGTGTGTTTGCTGAACACACAATCACCCAATGTTAGCGTCATCGACTCGAACATCCTGGCCAACACTATTGTGCAAATAATGTGCAGATAATGTCAAGAGAACTCCTGGTTGCTATCATTATCTCTTCAGGGCAGTATCTGAGCTTGAAACCTTATCTTGCAAGAACGTCATGACGTCATATCTGACGAAACGCATCGGATGGAGCTAGGGCGTATGTCACCATGCATGTGCGCACGCTCACGGCCATCTTTGAAGTGGTACACATGGGTTTTTACCCTCATACAATGCTGTACTGGATTGTTTATGATGTAAGTGCATTACTGTGGCTCAATAAATATTTGTTTAAGGATTTTACACTATGGGTGCTTTTCTTGTTCCATGTTCCTGCTTTCAATGTGCATAACAACGATCTTCCCATTTGGAGTGCGGGAATGCTGTTTAATACACGGTTGAAGGCTAAGAAGGAGTTTTGGAGTGACTGCTGTTTGATTATATCTGTGCCTTAATTGACCATTCTATAAACATGATGGTCAATATTATCTGATAAGCCTCCGGTGAGCACTGAGTGGGGTGACAAATGGTGCATTTGGATACACTTGATATTCTTTATCATTGGAGACACAGGATTTGATTGATGGACATTATTTATATAGTGTCTGTTTGACACTGGGACTGATTTGATCACGATTTAGTGTTTATTTGTTCACCATTCACAGTATTTATCTTTTTATTTTTGGCTATTTTAACTCTGCACCGCCATACATATATGAAAATATATATAAAAAATAATACTCCAGGTTACTGTCCAAACCTAATTGGAGTAATTGTGTGGGACAAAAATACTATTGTATAATATCAGCTTATTTGCCAATAAGATGTTGTTGTTGTTTTATTCAGTTAACCACCCAACCCTTAAGGACACTAGCTAGAAAGGCAAACAGCTATCTGCCCCCTAATAAAAAGGTAGGCATGCAAGCATTTTACTATATTAATATCCAGATTGGGATTAGTGCATAAAGGAGGGGGCCCCAAAAAAATGAAGTCACTATCTGGAAACACCAACCAGCTTTTCAGCACCTCTGAATTCCACAAAAGAATATAAATAAGGTTATGTGTAAATTAAGAAAGGACGGTGTATTGATATGAGGCAAGCTTGCCCTGGAACATTGGAGAGATATGAGAGATTTAAAACTGTGGCAAACAAAGAATACTCATCCATCAAACATAATGACAACAAAACAAAAACAGTTGTATTTGTCTGCCCAATCCATTTCTTTCCATAATCTATTGTCTGTATAGGTGCTGAGTCTCAATTTATATAACTTTTATTCAATGAGGTCCTGATAGTTATATGTTAAACAGTTTATTTACAATGTCTTTGTATTCCATAATACAATGGACATGTACTTAAATATTTAGGAGTTGCTGTTCAATATTTAAGATGCTGAAGACACTATGAAAAAAAGTCATATCATACCCACTGGGGTTGCAACGCAGAAAAAAACAAGTTTTAATAGACTTCACACATAAAAAACACACTTAAGTCACAGTTCAACCTAGAGCCAAGGGGCACAATATGTTTCTAAGGTCAAAATTCACATCTTGAAGGAGCAAGTGAACTGGAACAGTGCCTTGGTGTTATTAATCTAAAATTGTATTTCTGGAACATTGCCGCTTAGTAGTGGTACTAATTCTTTCCCTTTTTGGCATAGCCAATTCAAGACTTAATATGTCTGTTTTTCATTAAAAACAATTTAATTGATGATTAGAGAGTACATTTACATTCTAATAAATATACTTGAGTATAAACACTAAATAGTTTTTTTCAACTGTGTATGTGTAAAAAAATAATTAATTAGTTTAAGTATAAAGTAAGTCATCACTAAAATCCCACCTAAGATTTAATATGTTAATGTAATATCAAAAGTAATTTTCAATATTTTTACATCTGTAGCTTTTGTTAAAATAACGCATGCCAGGATGATTCTTGTTCTGCAACTTCCCGTTATAGGGTAACAATGCTCTGTCCCTGTCTCCCAGCTGTGCTTCTTCATGGTCACACTGTTACATAGGCCTCCGACAGAGACTACTAGAGGCAATTTCAACACCTATTACATAGACATAGTTTGCTATTGTCAGCTTTAAAAAACCACCCTGTTCAACAAAAAAAAGCAACCACAGCTAGAATGCATGCATATAGACAATGAATGGTTGCAGGAGATCAGCGGTACTGAGTTGGAATGACAATACAGTAAACACAAGTAGTTTATTGAAGAAAATGCAATTGTTTATGATATGCAGTGATTAAGTAAAGTAAAGGCCATTCTTTTGGGGTTTACATCTACCTAATTAATACATTAGTCTGTGCAATGTGTGATAAATAGCAAGGCTGCCATCACACAATCATTCTCTGCAGACCAATAAATTCTAATTTCCCTCAGGAAAGACAGACAATGAGGGTGATTTAACAAGGCAGAGAGCCTGTTACCTTTTTAAGGGGATTTTCACTTTGCAAGCTTAGCGAATGTAGTGAAATTCACTTTACAAAGATTACCCAATCACATGGAAAGGAAATAAACTGTGTTTTCCTTGCACAATATTGTATAATGGAAGTAATCAGAGTTTTACCTCATTCACTAAGCAAAGGGAATGGCTAAGTTAATGGCCTGATTACATTTAATAATTCAACTCCAATGTGAAAAGCTAAAAAAAGCTCCAACTAAAAAAAAAAGACAAGGCCACACCTTTGTTAGGGCCCGGGGTCAAGGGGGCCCCATTATGCCTTATTAGGCCTGTTTTTGAGGGGCAAACTCAGTGGTGAAAAATTGCCACTGTTTCATCTGCAGACATATTTTTCAAGTGATTTTCCTACAATCACTAATGCATATCATTATTCAAAAAACTAAATACAATATAAAGAAAGGGATTTAAAATGGTTTCCCCAGGTGTTTGTAGAATGAACAATGTAGCATACACATACAGTATACATAAGAAGATAACAAAGCTTTATCACAAATACTTATTAAAACTGTTAAAACCACATTCCAAAAATGTCTATAGCTTCAAATGACAGTTAACGTGTTTTGCGGCATTACCCTTCTTCAGGGCTGAAAAAAAAGCTTGAAATTGTATCACATATACAAAAATAAACAAAATTAATAAATCATACAGTAAACAAAACATTAATATATCTTTCTCCATCTATATCAATGTGCATACATGTCCACTTTACACTTATTACATACAGATCAACACTATATAAACAGTTCAAACCAGATCGAATAGGAGAGAGGCTGTCCGCAAAAAAAAAAAAAAATAAATGTACATTCCCCACATGTGTATAAAAACATACAGATCACGAGCATAGGAACATAGACCATGGGGGAGACCGTATATGTGTGTATGTATATATATATATATATATATATATATATATATATATATATAGATATAGATAGTTACATTTTTTTTTTTTTTTTTTTGCGGACAGCCTCTGTCATATTAGATCTGGTTAGAACTGTTCATACAGGAACATTCAAAGGAACATTCTGAGGGGTCCTAAGGTAATGGGCTGGTATTCAGGAAGACAGTGGTATTTGCAGGGCCACAGAGTTTTGGGAAATGCTGATATGCAATGAAGCATTAAACTGAGTCAGAGATAGAGTTAGATCATTGAGTGAAAAATGTTGCTGAGACAGGGATAGTGGAACAGGGACTTACTGTTTCTGTGCTGTTGAACTGGGTTGAAAGGGTGTTGGCCAGGGGCAGACTGACAACTCATGGGGCCCCCAAACAATAGGGATTATGGGGTCCCGTGTCCTTGCCCACACCCAAAAAAGCCTATGAAAAAGCCAATGAAAGGTACCAGGGGCATCTCATGGGGCCCCCTACTGACCCTGGGCCCTCGGGCAGCGCCCGAGTGGCTAAATGGTCAGTCCGCCCCTGCTATTGGCATTTAATATACCTATGGTCATAGAAGCTTACACAGTAGAAAACATGCAGGTTTTAATCACATTTTATATATGCAATTTTTTATTAGTTAAAGGATGCAACACAAGTATTATACAAAGAAAAGATGCACAAAGATAAATGGATGGTCCTCACCAACAACCTAATGATGGACTGCATAAGACATGGTTTTTAATTCTTGAATAATCATTATGGGCTGATATCAGATCGATAGTAGATTTTCTGTACCCTGATGTAATTTTTTAAATGGCTAAGTGAAGATTCCTTGAGATGTGCATGCATAGCAGGTTTTGTTAAACCATATCTAAAACCGGAAATTAAAATGTAATATTTGCAGTCTTTCAAACAGATCATCAAAAACATTTTGTTATGTCTGTTTTGATAAGTTAAAAAACTGTTACTTGTCCTAGAAATCTTGTGAGTTCCTAACTTTCTGTTCTTGCCTGTGCTGAAACTTATCAATTGCATTTTTTTAAGCTATCTATGGGGACAAGAGAACCATACTCCTCTATGTTGTCTAGAATAGCAGAGTGGTGGGATTCTGTAGTCCTATCTTGGTTCTGTTGCCCCAATATTGTAAAGTGAATGATTTATGCTGGACTTCAAGTGTGTTACTGTTAGAATCACCAGGTAAAAAGAAAAAGAAGAAAGTTGAAAGAAACAAGTTTGAAAAAAAATGCAGTCGTGTCATCTAAGAACTGGTAAGTGGAAATATTTTTTGTTGCTTTTGTTTTTTGGGTTTATATGCACATTAAAAAAAACTCAAATATATATTAAAAGGTCAGCATCAGAAGGGTTACCTCTGTCAGCAAGTTCAATAAACCCAGTATTTTAATCATACAGTACACTGGACGTATTCATAGGCCAAGGGTTATTTGCAGGTTTCTTTCAGGTTACTGGACACCTGTAAAAAACATGCTAATGCTGTCTTTAGTGCACTAAACCCACTCAATCCAGTTTTTGCTAGTGTCCTTAGGTGATAAACTTTTTGTCCTCTGGAGAAGTATTTTTTGTTCCTCTGACACTTATGTCAAGATCTGAATTCTTATTTCCCTGGACTATCTAGCAGTTTCCAATTTGGTAACCCTCAGTGTACTTTGAGGACTGTACCTGGATCATGCCGACCTGTAATGTTTGGATCCTGCATTAGGTGCTCACCTTAGCACTAAGTGCAATCTGTGTAGATACACTATATTGTCAAAAGTATAAGGACACCTGCCTTTACACGCACATGAACTGTAATGGCATCCCAGTCTTAGTCCGTAGAGTTCAATATTGAGTTGGCCCACTCTTTGCACCTATAACAGCCTCAACTTTTCTGGGAAGGCTGTCCAGAAAGTTTAGGAGTGTGTCTATGGGAATGTTTGACCATTCTTTCAGAAACGCATTTGTGAGGTCAGGCACTGATGTCAGACAAGAAGGCCTGGCTCACAGTCTCCGCGCAAATTCATCCCAAATGTATTCTATCGGTTTGAGGTGCAGGCCAGGTAAGTTCCTCCTCCCCAAATTCACTATCCATATCTTTATGGACTTGCTTTGTGCACTGATGCGCAGTCATGTTGGAACAGGAAGGGGCCATCCCCAAACTGTTCCCATAAAGTTTAGAGCATGAAATTGTCCAAAATGTTTTGGTATGCTGACGCCTTAAGAGTTCCCTTCACTGGAACTAAGTCAAAGTCGGGACATGACCTCCTATTCCTCAAAAACCACAAGGAGGAACAGGAAATGAGGAGTGTGGCATTATCACACGATACACCAAACAACACAGATCGATTAGAATGATTCTCCAGAAGTATTGGCATCTACTGCAGATAGACCCCACTCTTAGTCTCCACATTTCAGAAACCCCCATGATCTCTTATCATCATGCCAAATCCATCAGAGACCATTTACTACACAGTGAATTCCTAGGGAATGCGAGAAAAGAACCATGCAAATACCTAGGCACTTTTAAATGTGAACGTTGTTCCTACTGTCAATACATCAATACCAACAAATACATTATACTACCTAATGGCCAGAGATACAAACCTCAACACTTTGCCCATTGCAAAACTGCAGGAGCTGTGTACTTACTCACATGTGAATGTGGGGGTTTCTATGCGGGAGAAAGTAAACTTGAATTTTGGAAAAGGGAACATAGACACATTGCTAACATGAAAACAGCTAATCCTGACTTACCATTGGGACGCCATGTATGGGACATACATGGGGGCTACTTTCCAAGAATTTGCTTCCAGATTCTGGATCGAATACATCCATGTGCCAGAGGGGGAGATTGGAACAAAATTTTACTTCAACATGAAACCAAATGGATTGTTCTCCTCAAGCCACTTCTCCCCCTGGACCAAATGATACAGTCATTTAGACCTTTTTTGGATGGCTTCGCTTCAGGGGGATGTGAAGAAATAATTTGACAAATCATTTGATTTGCTCATGTACATGTGCCTCTTTATACTGGCAGGGCCATTTCTGACAGGTTAAATAATAGATTTTCTACTCCTTAGTAGGATTTATTCCCATTACTTTCCTTATTGCTCTCACATTATTCAAAACCTGTTCCATCTAGCTCAATTATGTTGGGAGTCTTTGCCTCTTTCTTTGTTTCTTTTTTTTTTCCCTTTGTTTCTTATATGCAGCTCAGTTAAGTATGTGATCTGTGTCGGCACTCCAGGGTATGCCATTGTTCCCTGGTTTAGCCAGCAGATGTCATATTTTCCTCCCGCTGCCACGGTTTTCTCCACCCAGCGCAGGGGGGGAGCGACTGGGGATCTTCCCTAGGCCATCCCTCTTTTCACAGCAATATGGGGAGGATGGTTGGTGCCTATTTGGCCCCTCCTTTTGGTTCCCCCCTGAGGGTGGTGTCTATCCACCCTCCAGTTGCCATGGCTGTGTTGCTGTTTATGCGTCGGTGGGCCGCTATGTGAGTGATGCCATTATCCAAGGCAGGATATGTATTTATGTGTTTTGCTTCAGCATGCATAATTTGTAAGATGTACTCAGCCACCATATTAATTTTTCTTGTTTCTGTAAAATGCAATGTTTTAATATTTGTAGCAATAAAACTTTGTTTTTTACATACAGTATATGTTGAAGTTTCCCTAAAAGTCCCATATACTCTTTTTGGGGATCATCTACCTACACATCATAACGGGATGTTGGCAACAATTAATGTGACTTTGAGGTGTTTACACAACACTTCACTGGAACTAGGGGGCCAAACCAACCCCTGAAAAACAACCCATGCAGTCAGTCAAGTACGATTCTCCTCGCAACCGCCAAAACCAGAGATATCCAACAGATTACCAGACAGGGAAGTGTGATTAGTCACTCCAGAGAACACGTCTCCATTGCTCTAGAGTCCAGTGTGCTTTACACCACTGCATCCGATGCTTTGTATTGCATTTGGTGTTGTAAAGCTTGGATGCAGCTGCTCATTCATGGAAACCCATTCCATGAAGCTCTCTAAACACTGTTGTTGTGCTAATCTGAAGGCCGCACGAAGTTTGGAGGTCTTTAGCTATTGACTCTGCAGACAGTTGGCAACTTTTGCATACTGTGCACTTCATCATGCACGCTGAGTTGCTGTTGTTCCAAGTTGTTTCCACTTTATTTTAATATCACTAACGGTTGACCGTGGAATATTTAGTAGCAAGGAAATTTCACGGATGGATTTATTGCACAGGTTGCAACCTATCACGGTACCACACTTGAATTTACTGAGCTCCTGAGAGCAACCCATTCTTTCACAAATGTTTGTAGAAGCAGTCTGCATGCCTAGATGCTTGATTTTATGTACCTGTGGCCATGGCGGTGATTGGAACACCTGAATCCAATTATTGGAGGTGTGTCCCAATACTTTTGGTAATATAGTATAGCTGCAGGACCTATGGCCACCATGACAGGTGAAGTGTTTTCCTATCTAGACTAGTCCCCAGAGAATAAGGTAGCTGTGTCATGCCTCCCTGCATTCCGTCCCACCTTTTCAATGGAAAATGCACGCAGCAGGTTGCTGCACTCCTGCTGCCATATTCTGCAAAGACACATCCACGGGAAGATGGTCAACACCTGGACTACAGCGATTCCTTTGACACACAAAACCCTATCCTAACTTCTTTCTGTGAATACTCTTTTGGAGATCCCTTTACTTATGGTGGATTACAGGTTCTGTAGAAAGCTTCTAGGAATCTTACAAAACCACTCAGGGTAATAGCTCTTCTCTTGTGCCAGAGCAATGTTATATTATGACAGCACTTCCCTCCTCTGACTCTAGCTCCCTATCAGCATGTACCATGAGACCTGTTTGACAAAAGCAGATTTCCCTGACACAATGCTGAGCATTTGGAAAACTTTTGGAACTTCTACAACCTTTTGTTTACAAAGGTGAGAAATGCAACATGTCCTTTATTCACAGCCAGAAAAAGCCCATATTGGTACTAACTCAGAGGCTAGGTAAGTAAAAAAAAATTCTTTTCCATACATGTACAGTGAGGAACAGAGGTATTTGAACACCCTGCGATTTTGCAAGTTCTCCCACTTAGAAATCATGAAGGGGTCTGAAATTCACATTGTAGGTACATTCCCACTCTGAGAGACAGAATTTAAAATAAATTCAGGAAATCACATTGTATTATTTTTAAAGAATATATTTGTCTTGCACTGCTGAACATAAGTATTTGAACACTTAAGAAACA